AAGAATCTAAAACAGGTGAGAAAAGAGAGATAATGGACTTCAATTTCAGTTCAAGTCTCTCAGTTTTGTAGCTTTTTCCCATTAAATTTCCACTGAAAGTCACACCTAACCACCCCCTGAGCATGATGAAGTCAACTGAACCCAGGTCATAAGTGGACCTGGTACTGTTAGGGGTTAGTGGTAGCAAATATTGTCTTGCCCCACTTATATATTTTGGATCGTTTAATATCACCAGTCAAATCCCGCTGACATTTTGCAACCCAAAGGCTTTTTATTCTGAAACTACAATTAGAGCACCATGGTCAACAGGATGGAAGTGCACAGAATTTAACATCCTCCAGGGATAGCACTTCCTCAAGCACTCATAGAAGGTATGTAAATTTCATATATACATCCCCATATGGGGAATTTATGGTACACGTGCTTTGTCCACAGGATTAAGCGCTGGTTGCTCAGTGTGGTATCTGGCTTAACAGTGTTTGTTTCATTGGTTGTTTCCCCTTCGATATATCACATTAGCACTTCTGCACCTCCCAAATAAACCTAAACTTCCCTCAGGATCTACCTCTGGGATAATAGAAACTGGAAGTAGGGTAACTGACTACCTTGATTTACTCAGGGTTGAGAGGGTTCCTGGAACATGGAACATCCCATTTTAAAGTCAACATGTAAAGACCATTCCATGTTTGTCTGGAACTTAGGGCTTTTCTGGATGTGGAACTTTTTCAGCAGGGCTTGAGAGGAGAAGTACTAACTCTGCTTTAGGAAGAGAACAATCATTTAGCAATGAGCTTCAGGACCTAACAGGTACACATAGAAACTGTGGAAAAAGCTTGTTGCTGAATCTTCTCATGGGGAAAGGAGAAAATAAAATCCTGAATAAGAGGAAGTTTATTGACATAGAAGTAATCCCCATGCAAGGCAAGCCAGATAAGTGAAAAAAATGGAAACTACTGCTCCCTTCTACCTCAACACACACACATACACACACACACACAGAGGCAGCACTCAAGTACTCTTCCAAGTCCTTCACCCTTTCGGTAAAGTATGTATTTTGCATTTTCCAGAGTTTCCACATAGAATTAAAGAGTGGTCACTATAGTAGGTGAATTATTCATGCACCTTCTATCAGCTGCCTTCCCTTCCCTTTTTTTATTGTCCTCCATCTGGGATTGTTTACCACCCGAGAGCAGTCAGGGATATGGGGATATTTAGGTAAAAGCTGAGCACCAAAACAAAAGAGGCTGTCACTGAGAAGGGATTTTTGATGGGGATGGCCTATTTAGAGCCATTTTTATGAAACTTTTTCTAGCAAATTCATCTGTCAGGCTGAGAGAAGATCTCAGCACTTAAAAGTAAGAGAAAGAGGAGGTCATGGTGATATCTTGACAGTGAAGAGCTATTAGCAATCACTCCAAGGTGGTGAAATTCAGAACAGAACACATTTGAATTGGGATAGTCCATTTCCAAAATCATGCTGTCATAATATTGAGTTAAACAGGTATAAATAATAGCTTTGCACACTTCTCATTGCCAGATACCTTGGTAATTTATGGAGAAAAAGCTTCCTTAAATCACAACAACGATGACGGATTTGGAGGCTGTCCTCTGTCATCTCAAATTGTTCTAGATTGACAGAAATATATGGAATGTAAAGAACATCATTTATATTAAAAAGATTTTTCAACATTTAAAATTGTTTTAGAAGAAAATAAAGTATGTGGTTTTGTCAAGTAGGCACCAGGAATATATGATAGTGTCATTCAAAAATATAACACTCCACACCTAAATCTACTTATCTTGACAATTTATTTCCATACATCTTTTCATAGCCTGTGAACCAGAAATCATGACAATTTAAAAATCATCTGAAATATTTTACATACAGGCTGGCAAATGTTAGGGGGTAAAAGTTCAGAAGTGACATATCTAATCTAAGGCAGGATTTCTTTGCCTCAGCATTAGGATGTTTTGGGAATGGTAAATCTCTGTTGTACAGAACTATCCTGTATGTTCTAAGATGTCTCTACCCATGCAGATGACCAAATAGGATAGAAAACTAAGGACAGGTCTTGTCTCTACTCACAAAATGCCAGTATTCCCCTCTGCCCTGCTTAGGATAACCAAACCAAAAGAAATTCTCCAGACATTGTAAAATGACCCCATAGTGACAAAAGAACCCAAAGTTAAGAAGTACTGATCTTATGCCATGCAGATCTAATTGGTTATTCAAATTTATCTAGCAAACACATGTGCCAGACTGAATCTTAGCAAGGATCTCAAGAATTGTCCTTCCTCTTAGAGGAAACACACAACAATCCTATGAGGCAGGCATTTTTATCTTTCCCATTTTGGAGATGAGAAAACTGAGGGTAACAGATAATAAATAGTCTGCATAAAGCTAGCAAAGGAGAAAGTATGCCATCTTTAAAACCACACAGGCTGACATACTTTTTTATGTCTACGCTGTACTGTCAATTATGAAGTAAATACTATTTTTATGTCACACTGACATCTGCGGGAAATGATACTTTGGTTCCTGGGCCAAAAAAACAATGGCATGTGAGTCAAATACAAGCCTATCACCTATTTTAGAAAATAAAAGTTTTATTGGAACACAAACACACCCATTCATTTTTCTATTGTTTTAAATGACTCATTTTAGAAGGACATGTTGAGTGCTTGAAAGGATAGATGGTTGGGTCAACAAAGATGAATTACTAGCTGCCTTTTTACACAAAATTTTTGTCAATACCAAACCCTGATTTAAAGGCTGAGGAGATGATTCCTTCAAATGGTAAGTGGTAGAATCAGAAATTGAATCCAACACCCAAGCTCTTATCCACAGGGCTCTGCTGAGAACAGTAAGGATTGCACAGGACAGAGTTGGAGCTCACTATATGCCAGACGCTCTTCTAAACATTCACACGTATGCTTCATTTCATTCTCCCCAAACACAACAGAGTATTGTGATGTGCCACTGCAGACACTGTTGGTGCCCAGCCCATATGCTGTTAGCATTCACATCTACATGTGGAGGACTTTTCTTCGCTCTTCTTGTATGTTGTATGTTGGTTTAAAGGGATACGATCTTTTAGAGGAAAGGATAGCTTTCTTTAATTAGCCCAAAAGTCTCACATGGACTAGGGCAGGATGTAAGAACACAGTGAGTACATTGGAGGGCCTAGAGTAGTCATGGGAATCTGAGGAAATTTAGCTGACAGTTGAGCACATTTGGCCAAAGATAAGGCAAGTGGAAGCCCCAGACAGTAAGTCATTCATAAGCACAGGGTTAGTGATAAGTTCCTCCAAGTCTTTACTCTTGGAATGGGATAAATTTAGGTCTTTCCTACACTCACTTCCCATATTCTCTGTCCTCCACAATGGTAAGTGGCTTGACAGTACATCCTTCCTCTTTCTCCCTTTCTTCCCCATTTCCTAACCTATCTTTCTAGGAAGCTTTTCTCAAATGAACTACTTGTTCTTGAATTTTTTTAATATTTTTTTAAAGATTTATTTATTTATTCAAACAAGAGCTGGGGTATAAGCCAGAGAGGCAAGGGTTGAGAGGATTCACCAGAGACAGAGTGGGGAGCAAAACAGGTGTACTGACTGAAATAAAATGCTGAGGGGAGCAGCAGGCAAGACAGGAGAGGTCTGCTGCACCATGTGGGTCACCTCCCTGGCTGAGAATCAAACTCATACAGCAGTAGTTGCAGATAGCTTCATAATGCTGATACCTTGAGCCACCAACCCCTTGAACCACCAGGGAAGCCCCCAAATTCTTTTCTTAAAACATTTGTTTTTAAGGAATTAAAGCCAAGGTATACCATTTTCTTTTTTTGATAGGTCAGAGATTAACCCCCAGAGAATTTATATAACTGGCCCAAAGTAACACAATTGATAATCGGTAGTGTCAGAATTTACACCAAATCATTTGAATCCAGAGCCCAGAGTCTTAATCAAACCTCTCCCCAGTAATAGCCATGTATGGGCATCTCAATATTCTGTTCTCCTTTCTCTGTGGAGTGGGAAAATTAGACAGACATAAATACTGTATCTGAAAGTTAATTCAGGAGTGGATAAAAGTCAATTCGGAGGGGAAACACATATACATATACACACACCATACATAAACACACACAGGAAAACACATGTATGCAAACACACATACACATGCATAATGCCTTCTTTCTTCTTCCCTTTCCTACCTAGGTGGGATAGTCACTTTCTCTGTCACAATTGAAAATAAAGGGACAGAGCAGATCTTCCTCTTTTTAGTCTTAGAAAGTGACATCTACACACTATACACTCCATTTACTGGTGTGCCAACCAGCCCTGACCCAAAATATTCCCTCGAGTTCCAAGTAAACAATAAAAGATACCATTTCCCCAGGCCATCTCATAATAGATATGAAAACTCTGTCCAGATTTCATTACCAAGGTGTATAATACACGTGTTTCACTAACACAAAGCACATTTCTATTCTGGTTCAGTGTGGGAAAAGAAACACACCATCATTCTCCTTTCTCTCAGGGATTAAAAAAAAATGACACATTTTTTGCCATAATTTCTTATCCACAGTCCAAAATCTGCACATAATGGGAGACATGAAAATGCCACATAGTACCCTCCTTTTGGCTGAGAAGAAGCTGGCCCCAGGGGAGAAATGTCCATCATGAATAGACACTCCTGACTCACTCTTACCCCAGGATCTATAGACAAAAATTTGGAGTGTATTTTGTTTTAATAGCCTGTATGTTGTATAAAGGAAATCTCCAAGAATATTAGAAGTCATAGGAAGAGAAAATTAGGAATTAAATGGGCCAAGACATATAGTTGTACAATGTGATTGTTGTACCCTAAAATTATGCAGTGAAAAATTTGTCCAACTGCATATGACAGCCCTCAACTGTCCATGGACTCCATATGCATCTGTCTTGTCCAATACATTCTCATAACCATAACTATTATATTATTTAATATTAATATTTTTCAGAGAGAGTATCAGGTTTCCAGTTGGCGGTAACAAGAGTATTCAACTGACTGCAATTATATTTCAAAAAGTAAGTAAAAAAGAAACAGTTTTCTAGGATATTTTACCTTAATGATTCCATGGCACCTGAGACCTAGGTTGATTTCTCTGCAATTACTTTGTTTTCTGCCTCTTGGTCACCATGTCTCATAAACATCTGGCCAACTTCATCCTCTCATGTAATCTGAGAGACCCTTATAGCAAGTGACTAAGCCCCCGCCCCCGCCACCTCTTGTACTAGACTGATAGAGTCAGAAGCTTAGACTTTTGAAGCTTGTAAGACTATATATATCTAGGATCACCCAAATAGATGGTGTCTTCCTGAAACCTAGCAGTACCTTACATGTATATCTTTCCAATAAGTCCCTATTCCCCATGACTTTATACAATTTAAGTAGATCTCTGTTCTTTGCAACCAAACAGCTTAAACAACTCAATTTGCTACAAGAAAGGGCTATTTCTTCCACTAGAGTCTGAATCCAGGGAAATTATATGACATTCCAAAAGAAAGAAAAAACAGAATGCATTCATATTAATACATTCAAAACATAAGGACTAAACTAAAAGATTCCTATGCTGAAAAAATTATAGGACTCTATATCATATCTTAGGGTTGTCTGTAGGTGAGGAAGACTTTTCAGTGAAGGTACTTGATGAAGCTAATATGTGCAATCCCACAGCTTCCTTACTCATGAAGACAGGAACAATTGAGGAGATAAAACTCAAATATTACAAGTAAAAAAGTTTTTCATAGATATTAGAATGAGTGAGGTGAAACCTTTTTCAAAACACAATTTATTAAGTACAGTTTTTGCATAATATTTCTGAAAACAAGAGGTGCTTATTTCTGAAAACAAGAGGTACATTTTGGTTATAATTTATTTCAAAATAATCAATATGTCATGTGTGATATTTTTTAAGATGGATAAATTTATACCACCAATTTTACCTGATTATGGTCAGACACCTACATTAATAACATCCACTGCCCAACTCAGGATCTGCAATCAGTCTGCTTGCATTCAGGTCCCAGTTTTACGACTTGTTTGTTAACTGTCTGTCCAGATATGCTACTTAACTTCTCTAAAGCTTGGTTTACTTGTAACTTCATAAGTGTAGTGATTAATAGAGTGTTCTGTGAATTAAATGACACTATCCATGGACCACTTATTATAATGCACTCACTCAAGATTTACTATTATCATATTCAACATCAATTTAAACAGTAATAACTTGGACAATGTTGCTGATTTATTTCTATAATGCTTATTATACATAGTCAATCAAATGCTTCAAAAGTTGAAAGTGTATCCCAGTAAACTCAGGAACAGATATGAAGAATTTTAATAGTGGCAAAATTTAATAAAGGTGAAATTAAGTAAATTCTACAATTAAGGAACTTACAAGCTTAAAAGCAACAACACTTCCCAATGAGCTATATCTTTATTTTGAGGATGAGTTGCTTTACATGCTGCAGAGTCACTAAAATACAACCTAATCATTAAAAGAAACAATACAAAATTTATCTAGACCTTTATTTCAATATTTCATGTAGTACAGAAACTAAATAAAGATATGGATTTGTTTCAAATCTTGAAACTGAAACTGCTGCCAAAATAACTGAAAGTCATCCAATACTGTTTTGCAAAAGTGAGTAACCTCAGTGGGAATAGGGCTTATGTAAATAGCAGAGATAAGAGAAAAATGAAGAAATTATTACAAATCTGAGAGGAACTGTAAACCTATTATGAGAAATGTGCTGCCAAGGGTGTGAGTTAATTAAAATATATAACTAGGCTAATTCCCAAAACTTCATTAATTTATGACAACATCTTACAAAACTACTTCAGATTATTTACATTTATAGTCATTTATAAGTGAAATCTTTCTAACATACAAGGTGATCGCCTTTACTTATTTTGGCTTTATTTTCAGAGTGGAATAGAACTTGGACAAATTCTAAAATGAATGATTAGAGAACTGAAAATGACTTAAGTTGAATAATCTACACAAATCATCTGTGCTGTCACTCCTCTTTCTAGTGCTCATATTTGACATGCTCAACTGAGCATGTCTTTCTTGGATTAGCTCACCCACCACTACCAATTAACCTATACCAGCTCTTCAGTCTCAAGAACAAACCCAAACCCCATTGGCCATATGACTAAAGGTAGAAATTTGTAATTTTAAGAGGCTGAAACAACCTGGAGCAAGAGGAAGACTTCCCAGGGCCACACAATTTGTATTAAAGTTTAGAAAGAATCCCAGATTTGCTATGCACTATGTGTAAAATATTCTATAATAATTCACCATGACAAAGAAAATAAATGTCCCCAGTATGTCACACTTTCCTGTATTATTATCCTAATGAAGTTTATCTAACAAAAGAGCACAGTTCCCCACCTTTTGACACTGAACTCATGCATATGACTTTGTTTAAGGGATTGTGGGGATAGGGATATTGTGAAAGTTGTAAGTCTGAGTCTTGAGAGGTCTTTTTTTTTTTTTTTTTTTTTTTTGTCCTCTTGTTCCTCTTCCTTTTTTATGGGAAGATCTTTCTGAAGATAACTGAGGCTCTCAACCAGGGCCATCAAAAGAGACACAGCGCCATATCTGATGTGGTTGGTCCCAAGGTTAAGAACAACACTTCCCATCAAGATCAACTGATTTTTAATTGTGTAAGTGAGCCAAATATTATCATTTATAAGGTGATTCCAGATAACCCATAGAAGCTTGAAGGGATAAAAACTAACAGTTTATATGTTGATACTATGTGGATATTTGCTACTTGTTATATATTGAGAGCAGCAACTGTTTGATACAATTATGATGAAATATTATCTCAAAGATGATAATTATCTCAAATAAATTCCACTTTCCTACATTTTGTCTAGTCCTCACATGATTTCTGAAATAATATTATTATTTCCATTTTAAAGTTGGGGAAATAAGACCTAGAAAGTTAAAAAAAAAAAACTTGCCCAAGGACGAGAACCTCTTAAGTGACCTCTCCATGGTTTGAATTCTAATCTAAGTCCAACATTCTATGTCCCTCCTTCAATACTAATTCATTATTCATTTATATGAATAAATGAACAAACAAACTGATAGAATGGATTCCCAGCTAAACCTAAGGGCATGACATGCTGTTATACATGGTATCACATGTGGGTCTCTAAAGGGTAGAAACCTAGCATTGATGGATATGCATTTTCTCACCTTTCTGTCTGAGTGGAAAGGGTGGATGAGATTAATATGAAGGGATTATAGGTCAGAAAATAGGATGAGTTCTCCTTGAAGAATGCCCACATACTTTTCTTAGAAGTAACTCACTTCAAAAGAAATGCCACCAGCAACAATGCAGGAAGTTTTTGACTCTGGCAAGCAACAATGAGAACCTATAGAATGACCTCAGAAGAAAAAATCTAGGAGAAAAAAAAAATTTAAATCCTGCAAGTAGCCCCAATCTCTTCTAGGATCCAAAAGCAAAACATAGCAAAACTCCAGCCTTACTTTTAGATACCAGAGAGAAAGAACTCATAGAAAATTCTATGAATAATGAACTCGCATTTTATTTTTCATGTTGTGGATTCAGCTTTTTCTTCAGAAGCAAAAGCAAAATCATCCTACTTTGAGGAATTCTGAAACATACTAAGAAAAATTAATTTATGAAATAGACTAAAGGCCTGTGTGTTTTGGAATGTTGGTAATCTTTCAATCTTCTTGCCTAAAACATGTTAAAATAAATTACATATTTTTCACCAAAAATAAAAATGGATGAGAGATTCTGAAACTGAAGAATATTGTTGCCTATTCTATTTGAGTAGCTCTTTATTTTTGAAGAAAATTCTTTGAGCAAGTCAATATTTCAATTAACTCTTTAAAAATTGTCCTTTCACCCCAAATAGAGCCTCTGGGGACTTAGGTGGATTTAATATGAACAAAAAGAGAGAAATTATTGAGACCATTTTAACAGTTACTCCTTTCCCTCCAATATCACTACCTGCCCCTCTAAGCAAAGACTGCCAGGGTCACAAAGCAAGAGGTGAGGCTAAAGAGAGAACTTGTTAGTTTTTCACAGGAAGCAAGGTACTCTTCTGTTAACATTCAAGTGCAAAAGACTGCAATATAAATGGCGATTAAGTGGAAATGAATGCACATCTGAAGTTTTGAGGACTTTAACCAGTGCTGCAGCTTCTCCACCATTCATCCGTAAAAAAAGAAAATAGTAACTGTAAGAGATGTGTCCTGAGGGTTAAATGAGGATACATGCATATAGGATATGCCCAGCTATAGCCAGGGTCCTGCTTAAATATAATTAAACAAAAGTCAATGTTTTTATTAGTGATCTTTGAAAACAGTATCTGCAACTCATTCACAGGAATGTAATCACTAGATAAAGGTATAGGGCTATTATGCTCTCAAGCAGCTGGGGGATTTATATGTTGTTTATGTTCCCAGATATGAAGCTAAAAGTATAAACAAAATACCTTAGAGGCTGGAGGTTGGGTGATACGAATCACCATCAGAGAAGAGGTGACATAAAGCCAGGAGTGGATGTATCAATGGTAAATTTTGGCCAATTATAGGAAAATAAAGACTCAGTGCAGCCAAATCTGCCATTTTTTCCAGAAAAGCTGTAACTCTGATTTTCTATTTTTTTTTAAACATGGCAAATAATTTGAAATTTGTTTAATATGATGACAATGCTGAGGGTATCCAGCAAAAGCTGTCTGTGGGATATATTTGTAACCTCAGGTCTAAGTCAATGGCTTTCACAGTGTACACACTACACAAAAGGTTAGGAATCATGTCTGTATTTAACAAACCATCTCATTTTGTGTCCTCTGAACTTCCTTTCATCAGAGGAACTCAAATTTTATCCTACAGATAATTGATCTTCTAAATAAGGAACATTTTGAATATTTAGGTTCCACTCTTCTATGAAGTTGCAAAAGCATTGATTTGTGAAAGTAAAAATACTAGTGAACCTGGTTTTTGATCATCTTGCACAGTAGCTCACTGTATGTGTCTCCTTGTTTTTCTCTACACAGCCCCAAGACCTAGGGCAGTGCCGAGGACAACAGAAACTTAATAAATATTTTTGTATGACCGAATCATATAATGAGCAGAGTGTTAGATTCCAAACCTCCTTTTTTGCTGAAACTCTCCACATTTGAGTTTTTCTTATTGGGAATATAGGAGACAATATATATATATGTATATATATATATCCTTCAAAATTCATGGGCTAAAACAAATATATATGACATAATGCATATGAGTGACTTTCTGTTTTCACTGTTTCCAGACAACTGAAAGGCATATATGTGTAAAATCTTCGAGAACACATAAACTGAATTTTGGTTAACCAAATCAGTTGGTTTCATTATTTTTTAACCATATCATTTTGCAAGCACAAAAGAGATATTTTATGTAAGAGAAATTCCCAAATAGTCTATTTGGGAATGTGAACAGTCACGTAGGTTAAGCGCTTTCATAACTAACCATAATATCTGTTAATATTATTATATCATTCCATGAAAATAACTTAAAAGATACAATCAAGAGAAAATTTGCATGGTTGCAATATTCTTTGAGTTATTAGGAGAAAAAAGGTAATGTCTGAATATAATCTTCAAAATAACATTTTGTTTTTACAATCGTATATTTGTAAGTGTGCAGACTTGCAGGGCACTGAAGTGCTCATCTGTGATATATGTTATTAAATAAAAAGAAGCTATTAAAGTGGGAATAAAGTTTCTAGTTAGCTAAAAATTAAATTTTTATTTTATGAAAATAAACTAGTCATATATCTTCGAAAGATATAAATTACACATGACCAAAACAGTGGTTTGCAAACTTTAGTGCTCATCAAAATCTTCTGGAGGACTTTCACAACAGATTGTGGAGTTCTCCTAGAGATTCTTTCCTGGTCAGTTTGGAGGAGTTCACTTTGTGAACTGCTAGACTACAGTAAATCATAAAATTCATTTCAGAATGAAACTCTAGTTACTACAGGTAAAGCATGAAACCACCATTAGAGCATCAGCAAAATTACATTCTGCTTAGAGACATTTTTGTGGACATACAGGTTACATTCATTTTCTTGACTCTCTTCACTTGAAACCCACCTATGGGAGCAGGAATTCGCCTGGGAGAAAGATTCAAAGTGGGATAGTTTATCAGGAGAGCCAGAGAGTATTTAAAGACAATTAAAGTGAATGGCTGATTCAGCAGAAGAAGCTGAAAAAGAACAGAAACACTTCCTCATGGAATTGAACGACACTAGTTAGAAAGAGGACCTGGAAATAATGTTTTTTCCCAAGAAAACACACGAAGCCAAGACACAGGATCCAGGTATTATGAAAAAATAATTTTTAGGAAATCTTTTCCTAAAAATACTTATTCAATTTTGGCCACAAACATGCAAGATGGCACACACAGGATGTTAGAGCAGATGTTTCTGATGTCTTCCCAATCCCTTTAGCAGTCACTGGCCCCACACACCGACGACACCTGGTGAAGGACTGTCTATGCTCATGCATGTAGGTGTGTGCTTGTCCCAGTTACAGGACTTTTTTTACAGCTGGGAAGTGCCCTGGAATGAATACTGCTGAGAACTGCCTACAGTCAGTGATCAGTTGGAGTTGGTGAGCTCATACTTGTTTATTCATCCTTCAATGGGACTCCTTAAAGACATATTCTACATAATTCCCCAGAGCTCCCCAGTGAGATAGAATCCCAACTGTCCCAGTAGTGACCAGCTTATGGAAGGAACACACATTGATCTCCTTCCCTCCCTGTCATCTTTCTCCACTCTCCTACTGGAATTTCCAGAGATCACCAATGACCTCCTGGTAAACTGTCTATGCTGGAATCCATGTTCCAAGGCCTACATCTGGGTGAATTCAGCTGTTCACTGAAACTTTGTTTAAAAAAGCAAGAAAATGAATGAATTATAGATTATATCACAGCAACAAGATGAAACTCCACTTAATCATGGGGTAGGCATAATTTTGAATGATAATAAAAGTGACTTTGTATCAATTATATATAACACACATATACAAAATAATAGCCTTTATGTGCATACACATATTATATAAAAATAGAGAACGTATCTGGAAAAATTCAAATCAAACTGATAAGTATGACTCTCCCTGCAAGGAGAGGTGGTACATAAAGAATTCTTTTGCCTTATTTGTCATATTTATATTTTATATGGTGAATGCATTCATGTATTATACTATAATTAATAATTACTGAAACAATTCAAGTCATGCATAATTCCTAACTTTGATATATGTGAAATCACTCAGAGAAGCTTCTCTGAAAAACACTTATTGAAAGTCTAAGATTCTAACAATAGAAGATTCAGCAACTGAATTATGGCTATACTGAGAAGATAAGAAATCATGCAACACATACAAACAAAATAGTAATCATCAATCAACCAGTGCTTATGCAGAATTCGACTATAGTCTTGACAATTAAGGAGACACGCTTCCTGCCGACCTAGAATTCAGTCTATGAGGAATGAACACACTGAAGCAGAATCATATACAGTGCAATTTATATATGAGTTAAAATGCAAATATTTGTGATAGATCAGTAGAAAAAGCATGTTATTGAATAGTAGGTAAAGGAGCATCCCTTTTTATAAAAACAAAGATGGAAA